TTTTTTTTTTTTTTTTTTTGAGATACGCTAATGCTATATTGTGACCAATGGTACTAAATAAACCAGAGGACACTAATAATAGATCTCCTTTCCCTTTGGTCCTCATACATTTAAAGTAAGTATCCACTGAATGAAGTAATGCTATTTCCATTTCATGTACCAGGTTGGACCACTTCCAGCCAAGTTCCAGCACTGTAGTGGTGGATTGGTGTTACTGAAGACTAATTTTGGTGCTTTTCCATTAGTTTGCTCAAAAAAGGTTGAATTCCCAATCTAAAGCTTTGTTTTCAGGCTCACTAGTTTCAATTAATTCAGTGCAGATTTCATTCATGGACAATCTTAAACCAAAACCAGCTTGTCCATATAAAAGGGCAGTGTGAATTTAACAGAAACTGTGTTTAGTTAGGCCAAAACAGCTTTCCTTTGATGACAAGACCTAACACTATCAGGTCCAGAAAGGCTTTTGCTTATAATTCAGTTCTGTTATAGTAGTGTCTAGAGGTTTATTCCCAAGGTCAGGATCCAGTTATTGTCAGGGTTTTTATTAGCATATAATAAGTGAGAGTTTGTGATGTGAAGAAGTTAAAGCCTAAATAGACATGATGAACAAGGAAAGTCACAAGGATAAACAGAGTCATGGAGACTTACTTGCCTGCAGGTCACAGTAGGTTGGAAGTAGAACGAGGCATAGATTCAGTCCTACTGCAGTACCCCACCTCATGCATCATGCTCCTCTTTCCTCTGCTCTGCTTCTACTCGATTGTCTGAACTGTTGCATGTCTCACGGTGGTGGGAAGTTTCCCTGTTCACTAGTGGTATTGACAGTCACTGACAGGAGGGAACCCAAGTGATCCTTTATGTGTTTCCTGCACCATGGCATGGCTGTGCTTTGCATGTGGTGACCATAGGGCTTCCAGTATCTCTTGTGGTTTGTGCAAGTAGGCCAGCACTTGAAAAAGGGGAAAGGATTTTCTCCATTTCTGGGATCTGTATATGGCTTATTTTGCCTGGAGACAGCATCCCAGATTCAGATGGTTCTTCTTAATGGGATAGGTTTTTGTTTCTTCACTGTGTGAGGGCCTCACTTCTGAGTTCGTGTAATGGCAATATACGCTGATGAAGCAATTTGTTGTCCTGAAACGTTCTCCTGTTTATAACTTAGCAGCTGCAATTAAAAGGAGACAAACAATGTATTGGCCTCCTCTGTGACTTAGAAGTGCAAGTGAAGGAAGGGCATGACACCTTAAGACTTTGCCTCCTGGCACTAGAGTTTTGTGTCTTATCATTGTTTGTAAGTTGTTATTTTGCATTAATTAGACAGCCAGGTCTGCACTGTGTACTGCCAAAGCATAGCTCATGACCAACAGAAGATCAAGAACAGTATGGAAATGTCCAGCTCTTCTGGTTACAGTAAATGCTGACAACCTTTTAACCAGGAAGTTTGTTTTAAACTAGAAACCCTTTAGTCATGGCCTCTGATTCAGGTCCCATGTTAAAAAGGTAATGAGTTTTGTAGAATGTGACCTGATTCTCCTCTCATTCTCTAACAAAGAAACTTTGGGAGGAACCCAACTGAAATCAATGGGATTAAAACAGTGTAAACTGGAGTATAATTCAAGCCAGAAGCTGTAAATTCAGGAATGTTGGAAGGCAGGGTAGATATGCACCCTTATAGATTAAATGGGAGAGAAGGAGAAAGCAAGAGAAAGTGAGTGAGAGAGATCAAGAACAAGCTTTCATGAACCCAAGTTTACTTCATCAGATGTTGTGCAGAAAACAGAGCAAGTTTCTTGTGCAGAGTGATTGTAGTCCATTTTATTTGCCTGAACATGTTGCCATCCATGAGCAGAGAGAGGTAGTTAGCTGTGTTAGTTTGAAATCAGTCAGAAGGCAGGGAGATATGCACCTTTATAGACGAACTAAGTAAGATATATGTAGAGCACAAGCTTTTGTGAACCCAAGTTCACTTCATCAGATGTTGTGAAAGGACATGCTGTAGATCACTGCAGTGTGCCTTTTGGCACATCCAGGATTTAGGGATCTAGGACAATCAGATTAGGGATTTTGGCTCCGCTTTTGTTGGAGACTATATGAGTATTCAAAGTCTTGATGGGGGTGAATGAGGGGAGGGAGAAGCAGGTACACATTTCCAGCACAGAGCATGGAACATTAGGTGCACAGGTCCCATTTACAGTCACAGGAGTTGCAAGTCTAATTCCTTGCCTGACGCACTGAAAATATACCCCTAGGAGTCCACATTTGCAAAGCCACAAACCACATTAGAAAAACCACAAAAGCCAATTTGGAGTTCAGACCTTCTGTGCTCTTGGCAGAAATCCAGGGCTTAGTTGGGAGTGAATCACCTCTCTAGGGCACAAAGGGCAGGTTCTGCAGACGGGCTTTTGTGTATATTGCAGCCGGCAGTGGCCACTATGGTGCCTATGCCTGACCTAAGTGTAAACACAGGGTCTAATTCTGATGCAGATGTCCTGGATATTAATATGTGTAGGCACAGGAGGGGTCTGAGTGGGGTTGGGAAAATTGATAGAGGTTGGTTTATTAGTCTAATGACAGGGATTTTTCGCACTGTAGCAGGGACCCTCCTTTGGGCCCATCCCAGGCTCCTGCTCCTTAGACTGTATCTGATGTTTTTATAGCTGCCTGTCCAGCTGACCAGAGAGCAGCCCTGATTACTTGAGAACCAAACTGTAGGAGTTCCAGTGTCAGAAACAGGCACTGGAGACTGCAACATAGACTTCACTGGGTGGGGAGGAAAACGCACATGATTGGGGAAAAAATCAGGTTCCAGCTGAGACCCAAATAAAGTACCGAGCAGGAGAGAATGAGAGAGGGGTTAAGGCAAAACAGACAGTGTGCTGAAGGATGAGGGGAGTAACAGAAGGAAAGAAAGATGTTAGAAGTTGGATAGCAAATAGTAAAGAATGGGTTGTGGGGGAGACTGCTGCTACCAACCTTTGCATCAGTAACTAAAAAATCTTTAGCAGTTGGCAGCCTCCAGGCTAGTTGCTGACTAGAAGCATTACTGGAAGGATCCTTGGAGTCCTTTTATGTGCTGACTGGAAGCATTACTGATCCCTGCATTTTATTCCACATCTAGTGCACAATGATCTCACTGACATTTTCTGCAGTGAGCCCACTTAATAACACTAACCAAAAGAAAAAATCCCCAAGTCTGACTGCAGTTTTTTCAGTGAGCAGACACAACAAGCTGCCCATCACAGCCCTTCACGTTATATGTCATGTCTTTACCATGCTCTCCCACTCTCCATATTCAGACAAGCTGGATGTTGTGTCATCTGCCCCATCTCCCTGATGATGTAGAACTGTCCCCAGCAAGTCCTTTTCTCATTTCTTGTCTAGTGTTGTTTTCAGTTTGGCTTTCTCTGTCTTCCTGACCGATGGAGGAACTTCTGAGAAATTTAATGATATTGGATCTGAGTTTTCCCTGTCATAGCTCTTATCTCTCTACTTCTGTTATGCTAAATTCAGCATTTATTCCCATGAGATATTTGTAGTGAGTTAGCCGTTCCCCAACACTACCCCTTTGCCACAGCTTAGCCAAGCTGTACATATTTAGATTCTGTAATCTTTTCTCAGAAATCAGTGCCCTTGTCACCTTTTTTCTTATTCATCTCTTCACTACTTTTACTTTTTGCCACAGGGTCTAAAAGTGAACATTATATTCCAGACATATTTACATCAAAGATGGGGGAGGGAAGGAGTATGTATTTTTTGCAGAGTGACATGGCTGTTTTATGCTACCATACTACATTTCCAACTCACATCTTCTCTTTTCTTAGTCACCACAACATTTTTTCTGATTTTACTGTTTCTCAGTCTCCTACTTTCCCATGGGCTCTACTCCCCCTTTCAGATGATCATTCCCTTGGTGCCTTCCATGCTAGAGAACTGTGTCTCCTACAGTTCTGCAAACAGCATCTAAAACTGCTTGTCTTTGTTGCAGTCTTTTGACATCTGTGGTCGGCTGGGAGGTGTCCGCAAGGCACTGAAAGTCCTTTGCACGCCACAGGTAAGTCATCAGATGTAGTTGCCAAATTCACGCAGGACGTGTCATTGTGAAGGAAAAGTGCTGTAAGGCAGTGTTTGTCTGCCCGATATACAGAGTCTTTCAAAAAAAGTCACCCACTGTCTACTAGCTGTAATGAGTAGTTACTACCCTACTTCCACCCTTCTAGGTGGGGAAGCAGTTCTTTATGCCTGCCCTCTCCCAACAGTGTTAGCAGAGTGTTGCATGGCTGATTTATTGCATCCCTCACCTGAAAGAGATTTACAAATCTGAATGTGATGTGATTATTGGTGGCTTTACATACTATGCCCAATACCCTTGAGTCTAATAAAGCTGTGAGCCTCAGGTTGTATGTACATGTGCATCAACAAGGAAAAGACTTTGAATGACATCCATTCCTTGATATGCAGCACATTAATATAAATATGTATTACAGTATTGTACAGTAATTGTCCCAGACATGGCAATATACAGTAGCTCTATGGTGTTACATAACACCATAGCTGAAGAATATTATAATAATCTTTTATAATATTAAGATCCTGTGGCTTTTCTGTCACATAGAACAAGACAGTACTTTGTCACAACTTGATTCCCTCACCCTGGGACCGTAGATAGGTCATTTAATCTCTGCATTGGGTCCCTTTCTCCATCTGTACAGTGGGGATAGAGACCTTCATCATAAAGAGCGGTGAGATATGCAAGTGAAAACTGCTGTTATGATTATTGCTTTTATAGCTAACTTCTTGAAAATCCCTCTCTAAGTACCTGTTGTCAGTGCATTGCAAGTGATGTTGAATTAGTCCTTTCACCTCTGCCACAGAGCTTGTTAAATGTCATTATCCCTGTTCTACAAATGAAAGTGCTGAGGCAGAATGACTTGCCCAAGGTCATGTTGCTGACCAGTGACAAAACTGGGCATGGAACCCGGATTTCCCAGTTATGTGCTTTCCCCACAGAGAATCATCCTTTCCCTTTGCAGTGATATAAGACCCACTTAGTTTCTGGAGGTTCTAGTCAGTGCAGAAAAGCTAGGCCTGAAAGCAATGGTATATACAAGCACAAACCAGATAATTTAAACCACAGATGTGGGTTTTTTTTTCTTTCCTCTCCCTCCCCCAACAGACTTACGGAGTTCGTGCTACCAGCCAGCAGTGTAGTGAGGCTGGAGATATCTGTGCCATTTGCCAAGCAGAATTCAGAGAACCTCTGATCCTTATGTGCCAAGTAAGAACACTAAATTTGCCAAACTCAATGCCCATATGAGTCCATAACCAATTAACCTCTGCAGTTTTGGAATTAAATTTCACTTTCTCGCTTCTAAACTGATTTCATGGGTCTTTGTTTTCTTCCCAGTGAATGTGTGTCAGCAAAACTGAACACCCAACAATTTTTGATAGCTGAGTACAGTTGAGCTCTGTGATCCCCATGTTTATATTAACTGGAGGGTAAAATTATAAATGCAGAAATAGAAAAACTTGTAGGATCTGATTTTTGGCCATCCCATTGCTACAGAAAATAAGTTATTTTATTTCTTGTTTCAAAGCACTGAGAATGTGTGTACAAGTTACAGAGGTTAAGAACAGCACCCTGTGAATAAGGTAGCATAATGCTGATGACATTATTTACTCCAGTATGCATTTCATCCATTTTTATAGGAGCTGGTGTTAATCTGTCATTAAGTTTGACCAGCTCTTCTTAGAAGGCAACCTGTTCCTCTATTTCACTTTGTCAGATTGAGTATGTGGATTGTAATTCTCCATACTGAATTTCTGTCTTTGGCTGAAATTTTCCAGAAAACTTCAGTTGAATTAATTTCCTAAAAAATACCCTATATTGTTTTGTATCATTAAAAAATTCTAGAGACCTTTTATTTGAAAAGCTGTAGCACCCCCATGCATTGAAACAAGCATCATATTTAGGAGGTGGGTGACCTTTATGTTAGGAATATGAGGAACAGCTTGAATTGAACTCTGCAGTCTTCCCCCTTGAGATATGGTCAAAGATACCGTTATATATGATAATTATATCTGGGGCATGTATATGTGTGTTTCCATTGCTTAATAGAGACCTTATACTATGCCGTTGTCTCCCAGTTATTGCTTATGTAGGGCTAATGTACTGATATTGTTTAGGTTTATTATTCAAAGAAACTGAGAGGTATTTTGATTTTCACTGTCTTCCATTAAAGTTGCATTGCTTTCTATCCCAGGGTGCCTGTACACGAACGATTAATCAAGTCTGCTGGAGCATGGTTATTACCGCGCTCTAGTAACATCCCACATCTCATGTATCAGCATCCCCATGCTTCAAAATGGTGGTGGGGGTGCTTGAACTAAAGCTTATTGAGTGAGCTTTAGTTTAAGCCCCCCTGCCAACCTTT